CCCACTGAACCCTACTTTAACCAGGGCTACGTCAGTGCTACAGTTTGAATTTAAAACGTATTTGTGTGAAGTGTGAAGTTAAGTCATGGATTGAACAGAAATATGAACAATTATAAAATACTTTATTATTTCATAATAAAGTAATTATAAAATAATTTATTTGTGTTTGATTCCTATTCAAGATAATTACTTTATATATAGTCAATATAGGCACAGAGGTAAATTTTTTTAACATTTTCTAATGGTGGTGTGCCTCGTGATTTTTTTCATGAAAAAAAAGTGTGCCTTTGCACAAAAAAGGTTGAAAAACACTGGACTAAGGAATCAGAGTCCTCTAGAAAAAAAGGAAACTATACACTGGTTTAAAGGAAATCTAAAGCCATTTTCTTAGTTCTGTGGTTTAGGGAATGATTAAACCTCAATTTTTTACCAGCTGTATTACTTTACAAAGATTTCCCTTCACTTCCTACCTGGAAGACACAATAGAAAGTGAAAAGAAAATGCTCCAAAGAGTCGTCTCTTAGACAGTTGTTACCACAGTAAGTGTCCCCTTTGGGAGATTTCCCCTCTATTCCTGTTCTGGGAATAATTCAAAAGTGTAGATTTTCCTTGACTTTCAGTCCTGGTCACAATTAATAAAGGGAACGGAGTTAAACATATTGAGTTAAAAATATTGTGCCAAGTCGCAAATTGCTATATATTCTTAATTTGTTTTCCTGAAAGTACTTTTGGCGTACATCTCAATACATTAGTAGAGCTTTAGTCTGATGAATGTTGTCTGCATCACTTTCATTATCTATTAGATACATATTTCAATTAATTTCACTATAGGAGAAGAAGCATATTTACATCAATTTTTTTATCCTGATTAAAGGGGCATTTGGAGGTCCCTGAAACACACTGAATCTTATTCTGTAAGGGAAATTTTTTAAGACTGTACCAGCTCACACAATTTCTCTGCAGCAGATAAGTGGTCATTTATTGACGTGTGCTGTCTCTCTTCTTGCAAGCTTTTTCGGGGCCGCGCAGGGTCCCCTTGATCAGGCTCATCTCATCCAGTGTGCTGTACGGAAAATTGTGTGCTGGTGACATTCTTCAAAAGACCTGAGGTTATAACGCTCCCAAAAATATTTTTCAGTGGAGTGACCCATTAATATATTCTGTATTAAGCAGAAGGGGATCCCTTACAACTCCAACCTTGGCTCAAGTCTTTTTCCATGGCTTGCCCATCCTGTCACACCTGCGATAAACTTAGTTGACAAAGTTTTTCTTTCAAACAATGTTTGATATCTACCAGGATCGCAGAACTTTTCACCAGCTTCTATACACACACATGATGCAGTGATCATTGGCTCAGCAAATAAGTTCTATGTGACCACTCACCCTCCTTCCAGCTTCATTGTTGTGCAGGTTCATAAGAGTCCGGGCGCTCTCGTATGTTCCTTTTTGCTGGACCTTTTCTCTTTCCCTGGCGTCTACGAACTCCTTGGCAAATCTATAGCCATAATCTAGATTATCTCCACAGCCACCCCACAACCAGTCCCGGGGCAGATCCTTAGGCCTGGCTGCCCGACTGCAGCCACAGGTCGAGAGCTCCCCCTCTCTGCATGCTCGGCTTACTGCATTCACCACTCCGGCGGCACTGATGGCATATGTGAAGGCAGTCTCTCTGCTCCCTGCAAAACACAGACAACAATTCTGAAAACAAATGTTATGGATATCAGGGTGACAGGTCGAAAACAATGATCTACTAAATATTCATGACTTTACAATTTGCTCTGTTATATTGGAATCACATAAAAAGGCAAAACTGACAATTGGGCTATCAGCAATAAAGCGCTCTGAAAAAAAACAAAAAAAAAAAACACAGTTTAAGAAGCTTTTCCAGTCTAAAGCTGGACACACACAATACAATCTGATTGTCCCATGTCTATACCTTCAGCTCTTTAGCATGATCACTTGCATAAATAATGGATGTGGGGCCAAATTTAGGGCCCAGTCCCACCACTGCAGTGCATTGAGGCACATTAACACATGTATCAGATTAAGGTAGCCAATTCATTTGAATTTGCTGCGCAACGCACCAAAAGAAGGTGCATGTACCATCTCTGGCAGCTCATGTTAGTACATTGCTGAACATTAGGTCTGTTAGCAAGGTACATGGGTGCTTCTAAACCAAACGCAAGTAATGTACCGCACACTACCACAACACAGGAACACGAATGGACACTTGCCAGTCTGGTCCTTCAATATCAGAAGACTTTATTGATACCAGTCCCTGAACGGCCTTTAATATGGAGCTCAAGAAAATGTATCTGATTTTACTATTTAAAAATAACTTGACCCTTAGATGTTGACATATGTTACAAATTGACCGAAGTGACTAAAACTTTGATTCTGGTGCTTTATATGAATAATCCCGAAAGTTATTTTTAATCATTTGGGCCCTCAAGTAATCAGTGGTACATATCAGGGCACAAGGAAAGGCTGGCAAAAGAGCAACTGTCGTATTTAAGACAAAAAGAGGAGCAGCAATAAGCAGTGAAATGGATTTCTGGACATGGTCAGTTTAAAGTTCATGGTTATAGAACTACACAGCTACTTAACCAACATAATATTTAAAAGGTCAGCCAAAGTGATATCCAAGTTTTAGGTGGACCCTGTTTGGCAGTCAGCCCATCGCTTTTATATGACTTGCATATGAGATCTACAACCACAATTTCTGGCACTGCTCCTGTCTACCTAGAAGTGTTCCCACCCATGTTTGACTGTATCAGCTCCTCCTCTTGCAATCTTCACAATATAAACTAAGCAAAATATGAAGAAGGGATACGAGTCCTAAAAATACAAGAAATTATTAGGTGAATTAAGTCTCCAGCATCTACAAAAGCCTGAAATTTCAATTTTGGATGCACTGACCCTTAGATAGATATTATATTGAGTGGAAAGGGAATCTCCTCAACTGCAAGCATTGCTATAGTCACACAAGATTCCAAGCCTGTTCCTATGTCAGTTGACAGAATCAGATATCAGCTCTTGGTGGATTGGCCCTTTAACTGCAGTACATCAAACAGCTTGAACCATAATAGCCCCTGTTGGAGTATAATAAAGCTGACCCCCATCATAGCCATCTACCTCACCATCCCTTTGAAGAAGAGCCTATTATTTTGAACACTTATCAAGTGTTATGCCCATCAATGGAAGCAGCAAAGCTTAATTTCATATGAACCTGTGTTTATTGCAGCACCTGAACAGCATGGTCATATACACTGCACAAAACTGGCTTTCCCACCAGCTGCTGGCTGGACTGAACCCCTATAGTGAGTGTTGCTTTGGACAGAAGCAGACCACGTCACTTCAAAGTAAAAATGTAACACATGAAACATCCAGAAAGAAAGGGTCTTAAAGCACCAAACATACCAAATACTGCCCTCTCCCAGACCATTCAGATTGGACAGCCCGAGCCAACCTTTGGCTAGTTTACAGAAGTCTAGAGTGTTCTAAACCTGAAGCACTCCAACAGGGCCCATTTACCAAAAGGCACAGTAGGCCTGTGCCTTTAAGGGTCAGAGGCAATGAGAACTTTTTCTTGTATACCTACGGCCCACATTGTTTTCCCATCAGTAGAATAAAATGTAATCTCATATAAGTTTATTTACACTTTGTCCCAATATTTGAATGTTAATCTGTGGTTGGGCTATGGACATTCAGGTTTTTACATATCCCCAACAAGTAATAATTAAAAACACATCACCACTCTGTAACTGCAAACACTGTGGAGTAATTCATCCTCAAAGCTCATGACAGAAGCACTGAAGTTTTTCAAGTCCTTCTCTCAGCAGCTGAGCTCCCCCTGCTCCCGCATCTCTGCCATCTAATCTCAAAACCGGAGTGGCTGGGTGAGTTGAGCTGGAATAACTTGCTTCTGCTGTGAATATTGAGCAGGAATTTCTCCACAGTGCCTGGAGCTACAAAGGTTACTGAGGGCTTTTTAAACCTAATTTGCTGCTTGCTAAAAATATGAATGTTTGTAGTTCCCAACAAGTGTAAAGCAATGAGTTGGGGAAGACTGCAGCACCATTTCTACAATGTCATGGCAAAGCAAATGGGGGATCTGTAGTCCGACAACTGGGACCTTGTCCATACCTGGACTCAGCAAGTGATCAGCTCACACTCGAGGTAAAACCATAATGTCAGGAAAAGCTGAGTGAGAAGAAATCACTTTTCCATCTTAAAATGCTTTTTGCCACTACTGAGGAACAGTGTCAATATCATCAGCTTAGATGCTTTTTATTTCGACCTCTAACACATTACCAGTCAGCATAATAAACGTTGAATTGGACTTACAGGGCCTAACACAATGGATTTGTTTTGCATTATGTTATAATAAGTGAAATGAAAGACCCATGAAAGACTAGCCAATATATTAGTTTTACCTATTAAGTGTTTCCTGTAAATGACAGGTTCTCATTCAAACTCTCTAACCACAGAGCTAAAACATATGTACACCCAATCACTAAAACCTCATATGGAGCTTAAACATGTTAATCTGATTTTAAATGTGATCTATCTTCAATAGTTTTAAATCTGCATCTTTCATTAAAATAATGCTTGATGATCCTGCCATGAGGGCTCTTCCCCAGCCACGTCCAGTTATATGTGGTTGTCACATTATATCAGGGGTAGGCAACCTCAGCACTCCAGCTGTGGTTAAACTACCACTCTCATGAGGCATTGCAAGACTTTGACAGCCAGACATGACGGCAATAGTAGTTTCACCACAGCTGGAGTGCTGAGGTTACCTACCCCTGATCTATAGCATTGTCCCAATTGTGGTCATGTATTGTCACCTTGTCTGATGGGCTTCTGATGAAGACTACAAAAAGGACACTTTAAAACACACATTACCCAAGCATGGTTCACCATCAGAAAATCTGTGCAGAGAAATGACATGTGACCATGGCTGTCTGTAGACAAAAAATGGCTGCAAAGAGGCTGCAGGAAATCACTGGAACTGACAATTAAAAGGATTAAAAAAAGGTTTAAATAATAAATAAATAAAAAGATATGGCAATTGTTTATAATATACAATATTTTAGCTAACTATATGTCATTGAGTTAGGTTTAACATCTACTTTAAACCATACCCTGCTTCTAAATATTAGGACTTCTCAAATGGAACCTCCTAATGGTCATCTATTTTAAAACACAGGGTGAAATGGTTTAGCAAGTTTATCTGTTAATCAGAACTAAAGAGGGTTCAAGGGGTGGAAGCGATTTTGGGCTTTCTCAAAACTTTCTTCCCACACCGGCTCCCATTAAATGAAAACAAGATGATTTGAGAGGTTACATGTGCTGAGGGTTACAATAACGGCACTTAACTGACTTTCCAAAATAAATGTCAGGGCAGGAATAAAAACACGAGATCTTAAAATCCGATATCTTTTTTTTTCCTGTTCCTTCCTATCAAACCGTGTGCCATCGTATTCTTCAGCAGAATTAAAATCATCTCTGTTTATCTCTAAAATAGCCTTTTAAAAGCACTGAAATGGAGAGTTTTAAACAGAGAGGCTGCAGACGGTTTGTATTAAATTAAGGAACGAGTTCTATTCACTTTGTGTAATGCGAGCACATTGCCTATATGAATGCCATATTGTACACAGTCCTATATAAATGCCATAGGCCATCTGAAATCCTAGGAGTTAACAGTGATTCAGCTTGGAATATAAATCTCTTTCTTAGGCTGACCCCATAAGCTTTTATTGGGTTGGGCGAGACTTCAGCGGATCCCGCAAGAAGTTTAGAAATGTGCATTTCGCTTAGAGACCTGTGCAGAGTATTATGGGTAGCAATGAGGAATGCTTATGGACCGGGCTGCTAATTACAGATATGTGTTACAATGATATGTACATGCTATACATTTCTGTGCTTTTACCCTGTGCTAGTTTGTGTTATGGTTATTCTGTCAAATGTGTCTGACACCTTACGGGAGAAAACGCATGACCTATACATATTAACGCAGCCCTGAATGCTGACCTTAGCAGAAAATGCCTTCTGGCTTTGGCACAGTGAGTATTCAGGGTTACATTAAGGAGTGCAGATCCTATTAAAAGGGGACGTGTTCACAAAAGAGCCAGATGCAGTCAAGGCACTGCAAAAACACGGCACACAACAAATGCAACTAAATCGCAAGGAAATGTGCTGTGTATACATACAAAGGGTATTTACTGACAAAGAGTTAACTAGGAAAACAGGAGTTTATAGGAAGTATTTAATACAGGAAGTATTTGATGCAATTTTAAAAAGATAAAATAAAAGGACTACACAGTTTTTGTAGACTTCAACTTTTTGCACTGGAGTTTTAGGTCACGACTCCTACATAAGCCCAAGGTACCCTTGAATATACATATATTTAATTTATTATAAATTAATATGTATAATTTCTGTATGGAGCCAATAAACTAGGAAAACAGAAGTTTAAAGCAAGCTGCAGAAAGTATTTGATCACATTTTTTAAAAATAAAACAAAATATTTTAAAAACACAATTTCCATAGATTTTTAACATTGGAAAGGAGTTTTAGGTGATGACTTCTACATACACCCATGGTAACCTGGAATATACATATATTCAATATGTATAATTTTTGCATGCTGCAAATAAACTAGGAAAATAGAAGTTTATAGCAATCTTCGGGAAGTATTGGATCACATTTTAAAAAGATAAAATAAAGGCTACACAATTTTTTTAAACTACA